CTGGACCCTGCAAAGCAGCGGAGCGACGATTCGGGTATTCCACAAAGGATAAGCGATGCGTTGAATTCGTGTATGGTGGCTGTCAAGGCAATGCAAACAACTTTGAATCTCTAGAACTGTGTAAAGCAAGATGCGGCAATGGTGCTTCCGGTAGGTCTTTCGACTTCCGGTTAAATGCTCTGCTACAATTTCACAAGACCTTTCTTCGGCGAAACTGAGATTTTTGCTCAATTAGGTCTTTTCTGAGGTTGCTTCGCAAATGTTTGGCTTCGAGTAAAAAAAATCAGTTTTCAGCTTAAAATCATACTTGCGACGAGGCTGTAATGCTGATAAGCATGGAACAGAAACTCCACCCCTGGCCTTATACATGCCAGGTTAACACCCTCGGAATAAGTGTACGTTCAACCCACTAGCAACATACATATTACTAAATTGTGTCTACTTGCAGAAGGTATTAGCTTTCAGTATTCTTTGCTACCTGTTTCAGTTCACCTTTATTTTGTAGAAAAGTTATCCATTGTGGTAGTAATATTGTTTTCAAAATTGCAATGTTTCGCGACGGCCCAGTTGAAAAACGAGCAACTTTCGTTTTAGAGGCAATTTTACACTTCACCTGTCTTTACGGTGTCAAATAACATGCTACTTACCTTCTATTTAGGTACTTACATACATCTTTTTCTGCATAAGATGGTTGCTTCTGCTGTGTACAACATTTTTCTAGCAATTTAGACCCTGTTGCAGACTTGAAAAGCAGCAGTGCCGTGGTAGTTTCAACATAACGTCATCCTGCGCGAACTGTCACGAACTTCTATTACCTTATCGGGGGGTGTTAAGGCTATTGAGGTTTAACGCAAACGACTGCGATCTTCCAGTTATGTCTTGGGAAAGCCAGATTTTTAGCAAGAGTATGTTCTGTACAGAATGAATAGGCGAACAGGCAGTAGAAAATTGATTACCAGACGAACGCACAACCGCAAGCCAGCGGATGGCGTCTGGAGTGAGGTCTGCTTGGCAGGCGTCACACGAAGTCCTGTGTGAGTCGGCCTGTGATTGGCTGTTCCAGAGGCCGAAAGCAGCAAGCGTTTCCAAACTGCACGTCGACTTGACCTAGTCACGACAGGCATTCACAAACGCACTTTGTGTTGAGCTAGTCACCCCAACCTTTTGTTCAAGTACGCAATTTAGGGATAAAACATCCCATAAAACGAATATATTTCAGGATTGTCATTTTAGTACTATCTAAAATTTTTGGAATAATGAATAAATAGCCAATATGTACTTGACGAAAAGATGAAAGTTCGAATGAAGCTGAAACGTATGCATTTAAAAGCTATTACGTTGGACACTACGGAATACCTCAAAGCTCTATAGCAGACTCCTCGCCTGAGAGAGGCATTCTAAAGGAAGTCGGTTTTAGACTTTCTGGAATGTTTTATTGCATTTAACTGCGCTACCTAGAAATTCCCGCGGTTTTATGATATTAAAATATTCGCATTTACGAAGAAGGTACAGAGTTTGATTATTCACCGACGAGGAAAAAATAGTTCCCTCTGAAATGGCTACTCCTGATTTGGTGCCGCAGTAATGCACGGATTGATCCATATTGTTCGATTGCTTTCAACATGGAAGCATCGCTGGCTGAAGCTAG